AAGCTCAATATGATTCATCCTATAATAAGGAAGGATGGACTTTGCTCTCACTTTTGGTGAGTGGGACTTGAATCAATTTCCTAACCTTTACCTATAAACTTATATTTTTTCCTAATGACTTTTGAGGATTTCCTTTAGCCTTAATGTATGGCTAGCCCAAACCTAAGACCAAATCTCCCTCTAGAATTAAATGTCCTTAAGCTAAACTCTAATTAATTTTGAGACCAAAGAACCCAATTTCAATTCAAAACCATTTATGTTCCAATTTATAGGACCTTTAGATTTAGTTAACCGAAAATTATGTCTAATACTCAAAAACCATCCTAGTGATCTTAGAACCCTCCCTAAGCTCTTCTTTGGATTTAGAAAGCTCATACAACTTTATTGGCTTATATGGCCCACAAAAGTCAACTCTCTTTTTTCTATAACTTTCACTACCATTCACTCTCACCTACCTAGAGATAACTATGGATCAAGTTTGGTCAAGTGGCCCATTGATAGCTCATTTAGTCAAATCTAATTCAAGTCGATTCAAATTTAATCTCACTTAGCTCCAAATAGAATTAATGACATTCCCCTCTTCCTTTTACTAAAGGGTCCACTTAAGACTTATTTTAGAGTTTGTTGGGCAAAAATTTAAAATTCTTCCAAGAAGTGAGTTATAATTGTTCGTAGGTACTCTAAAGAACATGATGAACTCTCTTCAATCATTTTAACCTAATATTTAAACCTAATTGATCTATTTGGCCCTCTGAGTCTTGTTGACCTATTTAGGTTGCTTTAGTTCGAATTTGTCTAATTAAGTCATTCCCTTCCCAATTGAATTAGATTCATTCTTAGTTTTACTCAAATGAACCTAATAAACCCATAAGCCCAGTATGACCTCATTTAGGTCAAGATGAATCAATTAAATCAAATCCAAGTTAACATGTTCAAATAATTCCTTATTGTGTGTGTGTGAAACCCATATTTTTTTAAAATTCTCATCACGAATAAAAAATCACTATAACAATAAACTCATCAAATCATACCAAACCAATCAAAATCAATAATTTCTTAGCTTCTTATCAAAAATTAAAAATCCAATGATAACCAAATTTCAGTTAAAATTAAAATTCTTTGTCAATTCATCTAAAATTTTCTCTTTTTGGTGCAACTTGTTGTTGCGGGATCTATATACCAACAGTTGATGTGGTATATATATAAATCAAACATGCGAACGATTGACAAAGTGAAAAATAGAACGAGAAAAATCACACCATAAAAGAAAACACAACAGAACACACAGATTTACGTGGTTCAACAAATTGCCTACGTCTATGGAGTTTTAGAGGATTTTACTACTTGATGAATTTACATCAGTCGATCACGAGGAATCTCTCACTTCGTTGCTCTCTTCTATTTCTCTCTCTATTCTTCTCTCTCTACACTGAGATACATCGAAGAAAACTCTACACCGAGATACATCGAAGAAAACTATACACTGAGATACACCGAAGAAGGCAAACTTACAAGAGAAATAAATTCAATTTCTCTTCTGCCACAAGCCACCAAAAAGAAGTCTAGGGAGAAAAATTTCCTTCTTCTTCCTTCTTCCTCCTTCTGCCGCAAGGAACTGCTTCTCCTTGCACTTCTCTTCCTCTGCCCTAAGGAACCTTCCGCTATCCTGAGGAAACCGAAGAAGAACTCAAAGCGTGACTTCTAAACTCAAGGAAAGCCATCCGAAGCTTTTATAACAAGCAGGAGGGGGTGAAGAGATGCTTCACTTCACAAAAGAGGAAGACGAGAGTAGTTATTTGTGAAGAGGTGTGACTCTCCAAAGCAAAGTAACCGCCCAAGCATAGTGGACCGGACTCCACCATTTCTAACAATTCTCCCACTTGGAGACTGGTACACAGGCTGCAACATCTCCTTCCTCAAACTGATATCCTTCACTGGCGGTGTCGCCTTTTCTTCAACATCCTCCACCTTGAATCCTCCACCTAGCCTTTATCTTCACTCCAGAAGACCAACCGAAACTGTGCACAACTACAGTTTCTCAAGAGTATCACCCTCAGTCAACATATCAGCAGACTCTGCATAGCTTTGCACCTCCAAGTTATTTCCAGGGTCACTCTTGTCTCTTTTTACAACTCCCACCGCATGGGCAACATCTTGCCTCTGATGAAAACCTTTTTTTAACAAGTCTAGTCTTGTATCTCTTACTGACGTCACGCTCAGTCTTCACATGGTACACCCACTTGTTGTGCAATGTCTTTTACCTTGGTAGAAGTTCTGTCAGCTCCCACTTGCTCGAACTTTCATCTTACAAGATTATTTCTTCATAGCTCTTCATAGCTCTGTGGTTCTTCAACATTTGTTTGTGGAACAATAGGAATTGGCGCCCCGGACCCACTTTACTCTTCACTTCCATCACCGCCCTGCACTGTGGCCTCTGGTAGATTTCCTACAACATTCAAAGCCTCTGAATCCAATATCAAGTCTTCAACAGAACTATGAACTGCCAACAATAGTGCATCATGTGATTCTTCAGATACCACATTTGCGCTATCATTCTCCATCTTCTTAGGATTCATGCAGTTCCTCTTTATGTGGTCAGCCTTGCCACAATTCCAGCAGGTTGCCTGCTTACTAAACTTTGATTTTGATCTTTCTATACTTGAGTTTTTGTCGTGCCATATCCCTCTGAAATCAACATTCAGTGTTGAACTCGAGGTTGAGCTCGAGCCTGAGACATCGCCAGAATCTTTCCTGCAAACTTCCTCAGCCAAAATCAAAGCACGAATATCATTGTATTTCAGTTTAGATTTATCTGCAGAACTGCTAACTGTTATCCTCGTGACTTTTCAACTATCTCGCAATGAATCCAACAAGTTCATTGCACATATCTCATCATCCACATATCTCATCATCAAAATTTTGCACATATCTCATCATCAAAATTAATTTCCACAAACGACAATTGATTTGTGATAGTATTGAAATCATTGAGGTATTAAACAACAAAAACACCTTCCGCCATCTTCAAATGTTATTCGCTGATGGCTTTTCATACATACCTGATATGGTTGTCATGAGATCTGCAGTTGTTCTTTTCTTGACGACGATGTGTGCAACGGACCTCGATAGGGTCAATCGAATAATCCCCAGAACCTGTCGATCCAACAGATTCCATTCAGTCTCATCCATCTTTTCAGGTATTTTCCCCAACAACGGAAGATAGAGTTTTTTCCCATAAAGATAATCATTTATCTGCATTCTCTAATAACCAAAATCTGTGTCATCAAATTTCTTGATCTCTGAAACTTTCAGTTCATCTGCAGCCATCATTCTTCCTCAGATATGAACAAAAGCTCGGATAACAGTTGTTGTTGTTGCGAGATCTATATATATACACACCAGTTGATGTGGTATATATATAAATCAAACAGGAGAACGATCGACAAAGTGAAAAATAGAATAAAAAAAAATCACACCAGAAAAGAACAACACAGCGAAACTCAAAGATTTACGTGGTTCGGCAAATTGCCTATGTCCACGGAGTTGTAGAGGATTTTACTACTTGAGGAATTTACACCAGTCGATCACCTCGACTTATAAGAGGAATCTCTCACTTCGTTGCTCTCTCTTCTTCTTCTCTCTCTGCTATTTTCCTCTACACCAAGATACATCGAAGAAAACTCTACACCGAGATACACTGAAGAAGACAAACTTACAAGAGAAATAAACTCAATTTCTCTTATTTCTCTTTAATTTCTCTTTTGCCACAAGTCACCAAGAAGAAGCCTAGGGAGAACAATCTTCTTCTTCTTCCTTCTACCGCAAGGAATTGCTCCTCTTTGCACTTCTCTTCCTGTACCTCGAGGAAAACATTCCTCTATCCCGAGGAAACCGAAGAAGACGTGATTTCTAAACCCAAGGGGAGTCATCCGAATCTTTTATCACGAACAGGAGCAAAGTAACCGCCCAAGCATAGTAAACCGGGTTCCACCGTTTCTAACACTTGTATTGGCTCTTTTTTAATCTATCATTCAGTTTAATCGAAGGGACATTTACATACATACCACATATTTCCTATGTATTTTCATGCAGAGCATCTCAACTTTCATATTTATATAAATAATATTTTCATGTAAATATAAATACATTTTGGGTGTTAGACATGTAAATACTTTGGATTTGTGTGGTATGTACTTAAATTTCCTTGGACAGAGCGGATCGAAGACCTCAGCGAACTTAGTAAGCGGCAATTGCCTGTGTACCACAATTCTTATATATTTACATAGTTAACCTAAATACCTATCTTATTTAAGGTTGTTGTTCGCGAACAGCTTGTGTTCGGTTCATTAGGAAGCTCGTGTTCGGCTCGTTCGCTAAGTTAATGAGCCGAATAAGAACAACACGAACAAAAATTTATTTGTTCGTGTTCGGCTCGATCAATTTAAAATATTAATTAAGAAAATAGAAAAAATTATGAGATTAGATTCAAATGATGGTTTAATATTAACAATAATTTTTAAATCTTGTCCCAATCATTAACAACTTATGGATATTTGATTAGGGGACTCTTTGTTCGTGAACGACTCGTGTTCGGCTCGCTAAGCAAACGAGCCAAACACGAACACGAACACGAGCTGAGTCTGGGCTCGCTCGTGTTATGCTCGTTTACACCCCTACTCTTATTAACTTTATACAAATGAAACATACATATTTTCAAGTATAAATTTCTATATAAATAATATAAATATAAATATAAAATTATTGCTGTTAAATATGTAAATGTATAAAAATTATATGATATGTACGTAATTTCTTATTAATTAAAATCTTATTAAATTTTAGAAATAATAAAAAAAAAATAAAACCTACATATTCTAGTGGTGCATCCAATGAGGATAAAAAGAAAGCGCTAGCAAGAGGGTTTTCCAATTTTAATTTTCGGTAGATGTCACGCAATCACGCAACATGCAATTATAATTGAGTAAGTTTCTAAAAATATACATTAAAAGGGCCTACATGCAAATAATTTCGTCTTCCTGCTCGTCCCCGAACGGCAATGGGGCGCGAAGGTACAGGTGCTAATCGCGCCTCCTCGAGCCAACTTCTCCTCACTCCTCATCCTTAAAGCTTTCCTCGTCCTTTTCTTCACTCTTGCCATCTTCTCCGGGCAACGCTTGGCCTCACCGCCGATGCCGGTTCCCAACCGTACCGCCGGCGCCGCCCTCCGTCGCGGCCGCAGCCCAGCAAGAAACTGGTGTCGACTAATTCTCGCCGTCGCTCTCATCGCAACTACCCTCACCGCTTTTCTCACCCGCACGATTCCTCATCTTCCCTTCTTCGTCGCTTCTATTCCAACCCCCTCGTCAAGTTTTGCTGCAACTAATTCAACCCGCCGTGATTCTATAATCTTCCCTCTCGACGCAAGGAATTCCGCCTTGATTGCGAATCTCGAAGTTTGTACCAGAATTTTCGATTTCTTGATTTTAATTTTGGATGAATGATAACTAGAATTTTTATTTGTTCTTATTTAGGAATGCATCTTAGGGTTGCTTTATTCTGTTCTGGATGTTATTGTAACTCAAAGAGACGAGTTCATCAGAAATAGTAGGATTTGATGATTTGATTTATATGTCTTTTAAATGTTGCAGACGAGAATTGATGCCAACAAGAAGATGTCAGACTCAACCAGGTCAGAGGTTGGTGCTAAATTTGAATTTCCATGTCATTAATTGCGTATTAAAAGTGATGAAAAATATCGCTTCATTGATACAAATTTGAATGAATTGTTGTTCGAAGACGCACGTGAAGAAAGTGATTTCCGGTGGCAGTGATCTTCCCATTTCTTCCAGGCGGGAGGTTAGTAATTAGTTTATTTCAACAGATTGGATTCATGAAAGAGATTATCTCAATAACTATACCAATTTAAATGATTCTTCATCTGATCAGAAGCATAGGAAGATGGCTAAACCGCATACCGGTGATCGGAAGGTAAATCTGCTCTCAATCGTACCTTTTATCGAAGATGAATTATAAGTTTTTTATTTATTCTGAGGGGAATTGGATTGATCACCATTTTTTTTACAGAAAACAACAATTTGTTTTCTCTCATTTGTATATTCCTTACCTATAAGTTTGGATTTCATTTATTTGAAGTTCTACTAAAGGTTTTTACAGGTGCCTTTTTGGGCCCTGCCGCCTGAGGAGGCACTTCTGTTTGCAAAGAGAGAAATCGAGAATGCTCCTCTTGTTGCTGATGATCCTGACCTCTATGCTCCTGTTTTCAGAAATCTATCTGTTTTCAAAAGGTAAAATCTCCTCAATTTTTTCACAATTTGAATTTCATTAATTTATGTTTACCTATAGTTGCGGGCCTCAAGAATACAGATAACCTGAACATCTGTACATTTTAAATGACACAAAATAGCTTAAAATCCTTCAGTAAAGTAATGAAAAGTTAGAAATTACAGAACAATCTGCAATTCAGTATCATCCTTTTTATCTTTTTCAAAACTTAAAATGATCAAATGGTGTTTCCAGGAGCTATGAACTCATGGAGAAAGTACTTAAAGTCTACATCTATCCAGATGGACCAAGGCCTATTTTTCATACTCCACAGCTTCAAGGTATATATGCCTCTGAAGGATGGTTTATGAAGTTAATGGAGGAGAGCAGAGTATTTACTGTCACAGATCCAAAAAAGGCTCACCTTTTCTACCTGCCTTACAGTTCACGCCAATTAAGGGATGCTCTTTATGCACCTGGATCTCATAATATAAAGCCATTAGCAATATTCTTAAGGGATTATGTGAACAATATTTCTTCTAAATACCCCTTCTGGAATCGAAGAAGAGGAGCAGATCATTTTTTAGTTGCTTGCCATGATTGGGTATGTTTCCTACTTCATTTTCTCTATTACGAGCGCTTCTTTATCAATTTATCAGTCTATATTAGACAATTATCAAAATCTAGAATATAATAAATGTTAATTAATTCACGTGCTGATAATAATAATATAAAGGTAATGAGTCATTGAGATAAATTCAAGATTAATTATAGCTTTAACTATATTCATTAATTTCTTATATGTATTAACTATGATTCCGAAGAAATAAGAATGCCTAATTAACGGAATGTTAATACTGGATTATTTAAGAAAATTTATTAAGGACTACTTATGTTTTTTTAATCATTAAAATTGTATTACTAGCATAATAATTAGCCATGGGTTAATCATTTAATTGTTTAATTAGCTATAGTAATCAAGACTTAACTGTGATTAGTAATGCTTTTGATTTAAATTATTCTGATATACAGGACTTAAAGATGACTGCAATCAATTAAGGTTTGCATAATATTTATTAAGGATAATTATTGTCTTACCATAAATTAGGATGATATGATGGGCTAAGCAAATGGGCTAAGACTACAATGCAACCAAACAATTTTCTCAGCTTATGCCAGCTAACTAACGACAAATTTATCTATTTCACTAACCAAAAAGTTTGTCACTACTTTAAGATTTAGCTTTTGCATAAGCCTCACAGCCAAATAAACTGTCTTTTCTATGTAGCTGGAAATATGTGTTTCATTATATTAAATGCCACGATAGTACAACACTATTGAAAATTTGGATGCAAAATGAGAGAATATTATGTACGAAGTTCATATGCATATAAACTACATGTACAACGGTGTATACACAATTTTGTTGTACAATATTGTACACACCAGCAGTATTCACATGTAAATCAACTGCGTACATAATAATTTTCATACGAAAGAGAGAGAGAGAGAGATGCACGTATGGGCGTCAAATGGGCCGGCTACTCGAGATGGAATAAGATCATTTCATTTGTTTTTGGGCTAGACCAAGTTAACAATAAAGCTTGAACAGGCTTCCCTTTAAAGCTCATTTTTCATGTAGAATATATTTCTCTAATAAAAAGTAAGAACCCAGCATAGAAACTATCATATTTCTTAGTTGAGTCATAATAAATTAAACTTTATCTGAGTTGAGTTTCCAGGAGAAGTATAGGGCTTGAAATCCTTTCAGAATGATTTCAGATTTACAAATGAGATTATTAAAATTTGACTAAACGAGTCCAAATATTGGTAAAATTTTACTAGCATTTAAAAGAGTTTCTGAGTTCAATCTCTTATCTACAGCTCTACTTTATCTGAAGTTTCAGTCATTCAAGGATAATCCACTTAATAGTGCTTTTAAATCATAATACCACAATGTAACTAAAATCATAGAGACCATTACTCACTCTTTTGAATATGGCATGTAGATAAGATAAAGAAAAATTTATTTACATACCCCACAATTCTTACGTATTCACATATCTATCCAGTTTACATTTACATGTTTGTATCATAAATCTATGTATGAAAATGTGTATTTCTCTTCTAAAGAACAAAATAAAAATTATATTTTAGATGTGATATTAAAGATTAAGTTTAAGTGTTAGATATGCAAATACATAAGAATTGTGTGCTATGTATGTAAATGTATTTCTCAAATTTCCTTCCAGGGTCCCTACAGCACAACAATGCACGCGGAACTGTGCAAGAACACCATCAAAGCCTTGTGCAACGCAGACACTTCCGAAGGAATCTTCATTCGCGGGAAGGACGTCTCCCTCCCCGAAACCACAATCAAAATCCCAAAGAGACCTCTCAGATACATCGGAGGGAAACGAGTCTCCCAACGCCCTATTCTCGCCTTCTACGCCGGCCTGATGCACGGTCGAGTCCGTCCGACGCTCGAGAAGCTCTGGGGCAACAACACCGACGGAGATCTGAGGATCTTCCGCCGCCTCCCGACTAGGATCTCCAGAAACATGTCCTATGTCGATCACATGAAATCGAGCAGGTTCTGCATCTGCCCCATGGGGTATGAAGTGAACAGTCCCCGAATTGTGGAGGCGATTTATTATGAGTGCGTCCCGGTGATCATTGCGGACAATTTTGTGCTTCCATTTGAAGAGGTTCTAAACTGGAGCGCATTCTCGGTGGTGGTTGCGGAGAAGGATATGGCTGATTTGAAGAAGATATTGTTGGCGATTCCTTTCAGAAGGTAGGAATGCGTTAAGAGGGTGCAGAAGCACTTTCTGTGGCATGCGAAGCCTGAGAAGTACGATCTGTTTCATTTTATTCTTCATTCCATTTGGTCGAGCAGGTTGAATCAGAATCATCAGATTCCGAATCCGTTGTGAGAATGTCTTTTGAAAGTATTTGATTTGATTGATTTGCAACTTCTGCTAAAATTTTAGAGAGGTTGGGTCAGAGTATTTTGATGAAGTTTTAGTTTGAATTTGGAAAATTTTGTATGTATTTTTTTAGAAGTAGAAGCATAAAATTTTTGAATTATTTCTATCATTCTTCACGAATCTCGAGATATGTCACTGATTTCAAAGCAACCTCTTGAGCAAATAATGTTTTATCCAGAGTTTCGATTTCAACAAATTTATAATCAAACTGACCGACTCTATGAGACAAACTCAATAGTATCAAAATGATCAAAATCAAGTCCAATCAATCTCAGATCAAGTCATGGAGCCACTCTTTGAAGTTTTTCGAACAAATGTCATACTTTGTAAGCTCATAATTGAATCGAGTGTCAACAAGACGAATCCAACAAGTCTAAGTTAACTAAATTTTGACATCATTAAGACACTCAAATGTTCATTAAAATGAAGTTTGATCGAGGAAATCTTTCCGGACCGTCTGATCAAAATGATTTATATTTCAACATTAATTACCCCCAATACTCGATAAATAAAGTTTCACTAATTCCACCTAGAGCTCTATAAACAAGGCAATATGTTGGCATTCCATGATTTTGCAGAAGTAAAATATGTTGCAAAATGATTAAAGCTGATATATATATATATATATATATAGGAATATATGTAATTCAGCCTTCAACATTTACTTGCACTTTATTTATCTTGCAAAAAAATAAACAAATACATATTGCCAGCCTAAACAATTCTGTTACTTAGTTACACCTGCTAAGAAATGGCAATGGCAAAATAATACACACTCCCTGTTAATAACTCTTTCTTGCATGACAGGAATGTAAATTTCTCAAGACAAGAAAAAAACTATAAACATTTATCAAACGTGTATATGAAATTTACACCATACTGTAAAACCTTAACATAAGCACTGCTGTGGTCTCAAGGATTCCAGCTGAAGAGTTTGTCAGCAGAAATTATGGAGCTTAATGCAAAAGCCATGAAAGCGAGGAAAGACATGGCGATGGAACCATTCAACATTTCTGTGAATTTATCACTCCCAAACATGGTGATCCAATCGTCGTTACGGGCAGCTGCGGCCGACGACGCTGACATCAGTAGGTAAGCGAAAACCTGAAACATGCATGCAAAAGCTTCAGTTTTATCACCACATAGAATAGAAAGTTCATTTTGGAACGAAGAGCTTTGAAGTGATACCATGAGCTTCATAAATCATAGGTTTAAAATACCAAACTGTTATGTATGTAAATGTGAAAATTTAGTCGTGAGATATGTAAATAAATAAGAATTGTGTACCATGTTTGCAAATTTCACAACATATTAACCATGCAAATAGTTGTCACTAAAATGTAAAATGAAAAATGTAAAGGATCTATGGTGTGCACAAGGCACTTGACATTGTGGGGCTAGAAAGGGTTGATGCATTTGCTTTAAGCCCTGTAAGTAGAGAAGATTATTTCGGTAATATTAGAAATTTAGCAATGCATACATTAAAACTGTTCGATAGCAATTTTAGACTAAGATGATGACATTCATGTTATTTGCGCCTCCTTTCAAATTGGGCCTATTGTTGCCTACTTGCTTTATAAAATATACTCTGCTCCATATACTCCAGCATAATCTACCTTAAGTTCACGATCGTGTAAAAATCAAAGCCTATTGCTACCTACTCGCTTTATAAAATACAATTTTTTTTCGTATGCTCCAGCATAATCTACTTTATGTTCGTGTGTAAAAATCAAATTTTTTATTAAACTTTAAAAGACGATAAAATATATTGACATTCATGAAGAATACATAAAAGACTTCATTTCATATAAAATTAAGATATGAATAAACATTTGCTCTTTCTCTCAATTGAAAGCATCAACAACAACAAAGCCTTAATCCCACTACTTGGGGTCGGCTACATGAATCTTTTTTATCCATTGCATCCTATTTAGTGTCATATTTTCATTTAGTTCTAATAAATTATTATCATTTTTTTATACAATAAGCCCATGTCTTCCGATGTCTACCTCTATCTTTCTTAACATAAGTCGAATCTAAAACATCTACTCTCCTAATCGGATCATCAGATGGTCGACGCTTAATGTGATCAAACCATCTAAGACGATTTTCTCTAATTTTGTCCATTACAGGAGCTAGACCAACCCTATCATGGATATATTCATTTTGCATTTTGTCTCTAAGTGTAAAGACACTCATCCAACTAATCATTCTCATCTCGGCAACACTTAACTTTGTATTATGCTTCTCTTTTAAAAGCCAACATTCAACTCCATAAAGCATTGCAGGACTTACCACCGTCTTATAAAATTTTCCTTTCAATCTAAGTGGTACATTTCTATCACACAAAAGGTCTGAAGCATTCCTCCACTTCAACCAACCAACTTGAATTCTACTATTAACATCTCCATCTATATCACTATCGCTTTGAACAACAGACCCAAGATATTTAAATCGTTCACACTTTTTAATAATTTGATCACCCAAAGTTACACTTCTATCACTAGAGCTACTACTACAAAATTCACACTCCATGTATTCAGTTTTAGTTCTACTCAAATGATGGCCTTTAGACTCCAATGTAGACCTCCATAATTCAAGTTTTTCCTAGGTTTTTTCTCTCATCTTATCCACGAGAAGGATATCATCAGCAAAAAGCATACACCAAGGTACATCCTTCTGTAAATGTCCAGTAAGACCATCCATAACTAAAGCAAAAAGATTTGGGCTTAAATCCGATTCGTGATGTAATCCAACAGAAATAGGAAAATATTTGGTCAGTCCTCCTTCAGTTCGAACACAAGTAACATCTCTAGTATACATATCTTTAATGACTTGAGTATAAGTCCTATCAACACATTTCCTCTCAAGAACTCTCCAAAGGATATCTCTTGGGACCTTATCATAAGCTTTTTCTAAATCAATAAAAATTAAATATAGATTCTCCCTATTATCTCTGAACTTCTCCATCAAACTTCTCAATAAATATATAGCTTTCATAGTAGACCTGCTCGACATAAATCCAAATTGATTATGAGAAATTTTTGTAATACGTCTTAACCGATATTTAATTACCCTCTCCCATAATTTTAAAGTATGAGACATCAACTTAATTCCTCTATAATTTGCACAATCTTGTGTATCCCCTTTATTCCTAAAAATGGTGACCAAAATACTCCTCATCCACTCTTTAGACATCTTTTTAGTTTTTAAAATAATATTAAAGAGTTTAGTAAGCTATGAAACTCCAAAGTCTTCTAAATATTTTCATACTCCAATTGGAATATCATCAGGTCTTACAGACTTTCCACCCTTTGTTTTCTTTAATGCCTCATCAACTTTTTTTTACTAAAGCAGCAGTAAAAATGAAACGTTTTATTATTTTTAACGATATTAAGAACACTAAGGTCGATCGTATTTTTCAGAAACTTCATTAAATAGTTTATCAAAATAACTCACCCACCTATGTTGAATATTTTTTCTAAGAAAAACATCTTTTGATTTTCATCTTTAATACACTTTACTTGAGTTAAATCTTTATTTTTTTTTTCTCTTTGTTTGGCTAGTTTATACTCATATTTTTCACCCTCCTTAGTTTAAATAGTTAAATCTCAATTGAAAGCATCACTCGTAAAAAATCAAAACTTTGCTTGCTAGATTCTATATATAGTGAAAACAGTAAATCATTTTGAAGACAAGGAGATTATTAAAGATCCTTAAAAGATAATATAAAATATCTTAAAGTCAAGTTAACTTTTCAAAACCATTACATTAATATAAGATGTTTAAATAATTTTTATAGCATATAAAAATTGATTAGTTAAAAAATTTGCATTTAAGAAAAAAGAATGAATCATAAACTTATTAGTTGCACTTTAAAACTCAAAAAAATTATTCTAGACAATAATTGAAGAATCGGGCCAATATAAAAACAACAATAACAACAACAAACTTCTAGCTTAGGTCATTGCTATAATAATTCTCATATTTTCAACAATATTAAGCCAATAATATACATGGGTTTTCTTATATACCTGCCACTCAAATGTTGAATATAATATTTTAATCACCTAAACTTTAAATACAACATTTCCAAACTTAAATATAACATTTTATTTTATTTTTTTTTAGTTTAGTCACCCACTGGCCACTAGTGAAGACTTTGAGTGAAAATCCCCTAGTATAGTAGTTCGTCCTAAATGTTCTAATAGAAGACAAAATTTAAATTTAAGAGAAAAGAATCTCAACATTTGCACTCACCTGATCCATGGAGAAATCGAAATAGTCACTCAATGGACGGTCTATGATGCGTCTCTTCATCATCCTGCGGTGAAATTGGGCGTACACTTGAAACCCCGAGTACACAAACCCTATAACATTCACTGACAAACAATACCTGCAAACAAAAATAAATAAAAAATACAAATTTCAACATGTTTAAACCTTTCCGGCCAAAAATATAGGAGAAATATTTGTGTACATAAGATGTACGCAGCGCTGCGTACATCAGAGGTTATTCAGGGGTACAATGGGGTTATATCTGGGTTATACCCCCTTGTAACCTCCGGTATAACCCGAATATAACTCTCCTGTACCCCCAGAATAACCTCTGATGTACGCAGGCGTACATTTTATGTAGGCAAATATTTCACAAAATAATATAGACCCAAACCGTAAACCAAAACCAACCGGAATTCTTGGTAGCGGTCGAACGAGTCGCCGGCCCAACCGGTGGTTTTATCGGCCGCCATCACCGAGAACGAGACCAAGCAGAGGATCACCTCCAAAACCCTAAGCCCGAACTCAGCCTTCCTCATAGCTGCCGATCGTATAATTCCGGATTTCATACTCATATCATTCACCCCACCCCGGCTCATCTTCGTCGCCATCGTCGCCGCCGGCGCCGCCATCCTGTTGGCCAACGCTGTTTTCTCCGGCGATCCATCTGACTGCAACATCGGGCTTCCGGGATGTTCGGGTACCGATTGATGATGCGTAACAATTACCGTCTCATCTGCTTCCGCTGATTTCGATGTCTTCTTGTTTTGAGTGGACAATGGCCGCTGCGAAGCAGGAGGAGAGGTGTTTTCCGCTTCCCATATCGGGGATCGGAAAGGTGAATCCGGAAAGGATGCCTCTCTGTTTATCTGTGGAATCGGTACTGGTACCTGTTTCTCCGATCGTCGCACAGGGGATCGGATTGGGGAGTCGAGAGAGCTCTCCTTCGACGAACGATGGGGGGAATTCGCCGCCGGTGATTCAAATACATCGTCGGTTGGGAGCGGTAGAATCGGGTCCTCTGGATCGCGTGAGAGGGAATGGCGAGAGAATCCAAACGCCTTTGTTAAGTAGGGTTCTTTTGCGCTGGAGTTGATCTTCTGCATAGGAGTTCGAGAAGCAGACGCGGCCGCTTGTTGAGGCGGCGGCCGGCGTTCGTTCTCTTGCCGGGGCTGCGATTGGTTTGGGGATTTGCTCATTGCTTGGGTCTCCTTCTCTCTCTGTCTCGCTCTGGCTGGCTTCCACGACGAAGCTGTGTGGGTTTTGAACGGAAGAAAAACGGAAAAAAGGTATGCTTTGGGTCCACCTGAAAGAGATTCTGTTGCGCGCTTTTAAATTTTGAGAGAAAAGTATAAGGCGGCTTTTATTTTGCTTTAGCTTTATAAAACATTATATTTATTTATAGATAAAGTATTTGACCGAAATATTTTTCATTATTAGGAAAATAGAGAAATAAAATTTGTTTTAAAGTTGTTATATTTACATAATTTGAAAATTCAAATCACATAAGTAAATATTTATTCTCTTATTTTAAAACTAAAAATAATGAAGATAAAATATTCAAACTTGGAAGTCATTTGAGACTCCCAAGTTCTTTGTTTTTTTAACTTACAAAATTAAAAAGCATATTTTTTTTTCAAACACTTGTGTTACTCGAGCATACACAAAGTTGTTGATGGTGTCAGCGCGAGTATAACAAAGTGATTTATTCATCCATCTACTTTAATGTATCGAAGTGTCGTAAATTGTTTTCCTTGAGCCAGGGGCGTCCGTCAAATTTGTTCACCAGGTTCGCCTAGTTGATGACCCTCTGGATTTGACAAATGTCTGAAGTAAAGATCGACGTGCGCCCATAATCTTTTATGAGCTATCTGACATTCATATAGTTATCTTATTATCCGGACATTATAGACAGACTTCATATTATACGAATTATAACTTAATTTTCTCTTCTCTTTGTATTCGAGTAGCGGAACATAAAAAGAAGACCATATATCTCTCATTCGATCCATTTCATTATAACTTAATTTTCTCTTCTCTTTGTATTCGAGTAGCGGAACATAAAAAGAAGACCATATATCTCTCATTCGATCCATTTCTTCCCCCCACCCTCCAATCATCTCTTCCATTCTTCCAGACGTCTGTCCTCTTTTTGCACGTACACGAGTCTCTTCCGAGTTGTATGAAATTACAGATAATAGATGACATATATCCTAAAAAGATTCGACACATGCACAGGTAAAGTGACATGCATGTAAAAATTGAAATTTAGGTATTAGATATGTAAATACATTAGCGTTGTGTGGTATGCACGTAAATTTTCCTTACATATATATTTGCATGAACCTAACTGAGCTATTTTAAATAAAAATAATAATTGATATTGAATTATCCTATAATTTTAATAAAATATTAGAACTGAAATAATTACAACACTCTAGCGAACTGTGTGGCCTTGATTGAAAAATGGAATATTGGGGTAAGAAGGTTTCTTACATAAAGGAACATATCCTATTGTTTGAGTACTCACGAAGTAACAAACTTAAGGCCAAAGTAAATCATAAATTCCAACAGCCATCACTTTAGTTTTCGGAGGATGATTGTGGCAAACAGTAAGAAGCAAAGCCTTCATCCTCTGACTCTCAAGAAATTTGGAGAATTAAGGAATCTTTTTTTTTTTCTTTTTCTTTAAAACCTCTCCAAACTATGTAGATTAATGCAAATCGATAACTTTATGATTTTAGCAAATATATCCAAAATATGGACTGCACGACACGTATCTTTATTATATATTTATTGTTAAATCAAGATTTGTTCTCGAATCACACTCTAAGGAATAAAGCATAAACAAAGGAGAGAGTGTGTGTGTGTGCACACGTGCGCGATGAATAATAAACTGTATCAATCGCGTAGAGCTTTTTTTGAAATTTTTGGCTGATTTGGTTATCCCTTATTCATAGGAAGATCTCCTTATTTATAAGGGAGATAGTACAATATGGTCAGAAATTTAGCATATTTGTGTTGGACAATTCAGATGGAAATTCAACGAAATTTAAAGGTTAGTGTCAGATTGTGTTTGATTTTCATTTGATTTTTCCCGACGTTAAGCGTTAGTAATTTTATTTCAATTTATGCCGAAATATTCTGACGCAAATTATTTGCGTCGGTTATTGTGTTGTATTGGCATAGGATTTGTTTTCACGTAACGTGCATCGAAATTTGCAACTAAAAATATCCTATGATGACTTTAGCGTCGGATTAACGTCAAATTTTGCATCCGAAAACAGACGCAAGTTCGATGCAAAACTGTGTAACATAGAAAAAAATTAAAAATATCAATTACATTTTCACAATATGCACCAAAACACATTACACATCATTGATCATATTAAGCATAGTCATATCACATATCAAATCTCTAAATAATATCATTAATACAAGAAAAATACTGTCACAAATGGTCCCAAATAAGAATAGTAAACTTAATCTAAAAAATTCCATAACAAATGTTTAACATAGTGCTTACAAATACAATAAAATATAAAAAACTACTTATCATCGCCATCATCCTACTCCTGCACTGATGTCATTGATTGCTTGCCCCAACTATCTACGAAGGTCTCCGCCATGCGTGCTATAGAGTCCTCCACTTTATGTTGGCCTTAAAGCATCTACTCACGCATGTCGGCACTATTTTTGGTGTGGGTTTTGCCCG